GTTGACCCAATATGAAATGGTAAAGACCTATCTAGGATGAAACGGGCATGTAAAAGGGGTTTGGAACGGGCATGTAACCATATACAACACGTCTTGGACAAGCAAGACCGGGATATCTTGCCATGTGGCCATAAACAACACGCCTTGGACATACATGACCGTGACATCCTCCCCCACTCTATTGGTTGACGTCTCTGTCAACCGACTCGGACAAGCAAGACTGAGACATTTTTCATGTGGCCATAGGCAACAGGCTTTGGACAATCATGACCGTGACATCCTCCCCCACTCAATTGGTTGACGTCTCTGTCAATCGACTCTTTACAACTCTGTGTTGTAGGCTGAGGTTGACTTTTAGGTTTTTTTGATGTGCTTCTAGCTAATTTCAGTGTTGCGAATTCTCATCAATTTGTAAGGGGCTGTTGAAAACTGCTTCTTGGTTTGTTGGCTCTTGGTGTCTCTCCCGTCAAAGTTTCTCCTACATGCTTTGCTTCGAGATTCTTCTTTTTTGTCTAAGGTCGTGTCGCCCCTCTGTGCTTGACGTCCTTTATGTCGAAAGAGTAGCGTTTCATGTTACTGACGTGGACAATAGGGCTAGTCCGCGTCCATGAGAGCAAATGGATCCTATATGATGTCTTTCCAATCTTGTGGATAACTTCGACGGGTTCAATTGTTGAGAGAATCATCGAGCTACAGGTTGAGTCTTGTATCTTTTGATCGATCCATTTGAGAGACACATTATTTTGTAAGTCCAAGCAAGAGATGAATTTGATATCTATTGGTCTTGATACTAGTTCCCAAATTTGATTTTGTATAATTTCTTCCTCCATTGCTTGCTGCCAAGCCATATTTTGTGATGCTTCTTCATAATTTATTGTATTATTTATCATATTCGGCTTATTTATACAAAAATTCATAATTAGAAAAATTAATTACGTTTAAATAATTTTTTTGTTAAAACTCTATTCACCCCTCTAGGGTTGCCATATCGATCCAACATGGATTCCCCCTCCTTCATATGTCCAAAGGTCTTGTCCTTGTACATAGGATATCATGCATGCTGCCCACGTATTCTAGTTGTTCTTGTTGAGTTTCTTGATTCCTCCAACTATTTGAAAATCACCCGTCGTGTTGGTTATACCTCAATAATACCAAACAAGCCTTTTCAACACAAAAATTGCAAAGCCACGGGCTACTCACGACACAAAAGAAACTCATTCACTAATAATCTCAAGAAATTGTTTTTGATTTGGAAGTTTAGACACAGCTGCAACCACAGAGCATACTAAGAATTCAAAGAGATCAGACAACCTACACTAACCTCACTCTGATACTAGATTGTTGAATACAACTCTTTGTGGGAAACACTCTCACTTTCTATTAACACCAATCGAGAAGAGATTGCAAAACACTCGGTAGAAACTACTGTACTCTATGCTTTGAATTTCTTGAGATGAAAACCTAAGTAGGGTGAAGAACAAGACATGATAGTGATGATATTTTAACATAGAGCTCTTCAAATGTCGGTGGTCTTCATGAAACATCGTCCTTAAGTGTCCAAAAATTGATTGGGACTGGTTTGAAAGGTCGACATTTTGTCTAGGCTCCAATTGGATTTTCAAATTTCTTCCTTCCCATGGCCATGAAAATTCGAATTGGGCAAACGTGTGGAACATTTTCAACTCGAGAGCTCGCATAAAAAATATGAGAACTAAGAAATCACTCAAATTTTAGGACTCTTCATCGCTAGATTTTGTCCCATGTCTAAAACTTTATTCATAGATGGAGTCTTAACCAGCCTTCATTTTTGGAAGGTCTTTTGAAAAAATCTTCTCCAACTAGGGCATTACAATACACAGTTTTGAATATTAGCTGCTCGAGTCTTGTTAAACATACTGAAATTTCAACTGAGTACTATGTGTATAAAATACTCATGAAATTCTACAAGTAACATCAACACCCTTTACCTTTATATATAGAAAAAATTTAAAAAATTTTGCCGTCAATATACGGACGAAAATCGTCTATCGACATCTCATGAATTATCTCCAAAATCCGTAAGACTATTTTTTAATTTTTTTAAAAAAATTTAAATGTATTTTTTAAGTTTTCATAAAGTTAAAAAGAATTCTTTTAAGTTTGAAAAAATTAAGAGTATTAATAAAATTTTTGAAAACTCAAAGTATTTTTTACATTTTTTTTAGTATTTTTGAAACCTTTTTAAATAAAATATTAAAGAACTTATATCCAAACTAATGGTAAAGATATAAATGGGTTGAATTGGGGTGTATAATTGATTTTTTTTTAATTACTTAAAAAATTCTACTTATCCACCCCCGCAGAACATGTTACATTAATAATTAAAATTTTATAAAACTAAAATATCAAACGTTCAAGTCACAACACATTAATAATATGGTTACAAATGTCAAATATTATATCTTTGTACTAATTTTAAAAATAAGGTTAGGTTCGATTGTGATTCTATTTTAAGTTGGTTGTGTTGGTCATTTGACCTAACTAAAAAAATGTCATTCGGCTGACCAACCCAAATTTTTGGTCTTTCAAAAGTTAAATGAAAACAAAAAAATCTAACCCAACTAAGGTTTATAGTTTGGATAGTCCACGTTTTCAAGTCATATGAACACTCTTAAACCCAACATTTATAATTTAAGTTGGATAGTCTAAATTAGTCGAATTGAATCCTTATCTTCGCTAGGGTTTCTTAATTTTTTACTTTGGATCCTTTAAACTTCTCAGGAGGACCTTAAACTATCTCGAGTTATCTTATCATTTCTTGGGGTCTTACATAACTCTGTGATGTGCATGACTACAAGTCTTGTGAAGGACTCGAATGGAGATCATCGTTGTATTGGGCTAAAATGGACGAGTTTTAGGTGGTACTACACTATTCTTTGCATGCGTCTCAAGGGCTGGAGGTAGGAGACAGAGGGTGACGTGGTGGTTCGAGTGAACCAACCACGTTACCCAGTTGATCTTTCTTTAGTAATTTGACCGGTTCGCCCCTTCTTAGGCCAATGTTCATGAAATTTTTTATTGATCCAAAAACTAAACTCAATTTGCTACCTACCCAAGAAGTTTGAAGAAATTTCAGCCTCGAAAAGGTCGTGAACCAAGCCCCTGAACTCATCCGATCAAGTAAGTAGCCATATGGAGCAAAGTTTAAGAAATACTTGTAGGAGCCTATTTTGATCGAGGGCAAATGATTGATTATCATGTTTAGGAGCTTAATTGACCTAGTTCTATGATAACTAAGGCTAGAAAACGTGAATAGTATACAATTAGCTTAGTTTTAAGTTATATAGCTTTTGTGCGCATAATTTGTGAACACTGATGGTTTTATTATGCGTTTATGTTTTCTATCATGATTATGTTGATTTGTTATCCTAATACACATGACGACGAGTAAGTTGTACGCCTTTATATGATTATTTCTATATGATTTAAAGTTTGAAAATCGGTTATATTTCAATTATGATTTAGACTATTGTTATGTGTCCTCCTAGAGTGTCTACTATGATTATTTTAGCCTATGAGCTAGTGTCCGACATATTTTGGTCTAGTGTGGGTTGACCAACTACCGTGGGACATTTAGGGTACAACCCATATTTCTAAACTAGCCAATAGAAGTTAGGGTCTACTTGTACACATGATTTAGTTGTCACCCATAGGGGATTCCGGGAGTTATGAAGGGTATACTATTAAGGTAGCATGAATTGTGCGTAGTGGAGAGCCATAGGTTTTTACTGTTCTAAATCGAGAGGGGGTATAAACATATAGTTTACGGTTCTAGCCTAAAAAGACGATGAACAGACAGTTAGTCTTTCTAAGATAGGTAATTTATTATTCTAACTGAGGAGGGTGTACGAACAAGTAGTTTACTACTTTCTACTTGAAAATGCGGTGAAAACAGGTAGTTTGTTGATCTTAATAATAACTAGATGTTGTCTGACACAACTAGGGAGAATCCTCCGATTATAGCTCAATAGGTAGACATGTGTGGAGTGTGGTACTGTCTTGAGACCAAAAGGGCTCCTCCATACTTATGAGTATTGCCCTAGGGCCTTTCCAGGGCCACAACGACTCAAGACGCAACTCAGGCAAGTTGATGAGGGACCTAGGTATACGTAAAAGATAGAGATATGAGTACATGAAAACCCTTGCGATATGGACCTCGAGATGGCTAGAGTACTCCTTATAGGAGGTCTGTATAAGTTACGTAGGAACCTAAAAAGATTAGTATAAACATTAGGTGAGATTCAATGTATAAGATGAGTTCGACGAGAGCCTACAAGTAAGTTGCTTACTGAGTATTTTTTAAATTTACTCTTGCTACACTTTATTTTTCAAGTGACTAGCAAATCAGTGCTCATGGTGAGAGCGTGCTCGGTCGTGCGGCTATAGAGGGGACTATTGACTTGAGTCGTTTGTTATTTTGCACTTGTCTTTTGAAAATCATTTAATTCGAAAGTGATCTCTGTATTTGCCTTGATTTAATGTATTTACGGTATTTTTACTACTTGTGCTATCGTAATGATCCATAATTCGGTGCATTGATAAACGAATCATTACAAGAATATTACGGTGGATTCCCTTCGAGATTGAATCTTACTCTACAATTTAGACCATTCGTATAAAACTCTCGAGATAGACAGCTAGGATTAGATGAATCATTTTATCTTCTTGATTATGCCTTATTATTTATCTCGTAACTTCTTTTAATATTGATTGATTGCAAAGACTAAATTAAAAATATTAACTTTGGAGGAATGAATTTAAGAAGCTTCCAAAAGTTTAGGAACAAATTAAGGAAATACAAAGCGAAATTTAAGTTAATTTTGAAGGGTAGTTTGGTCAATTTAGTTACCTATAACGCGAGGTTTAATTAATACGCAAAGCATGGTTTAATTAATAAGTAATATATTTTATAATTTCATTTGTGACAAAAAGAAAAGAAGAAATATATAAAGGGAATAGACCTTCGTTTCCACTCTGTCTGTGATCTGTCGCTCTCTTTCTTTTTCTCAATCTGTTGCTGTTCTAAATTTTGAACCTCGACGACGAATTCTCTGCTTCAGGGAACATTGAAAGCTCGGTTCCTGTCGCCATTTCTTTCCCTCTCGAAGATTTCATTCTCGCGCTTTTTTCTCTCTGGTTTCCGAGCTTCCTTCCACAATGAACGATCTTCTTTCGGTAAATTTTCCCTCTCTGATGTTTTCAATTTCTTTTTCTTTGCATTGTATTTTGACGTTTTGAAGATCGTTTCCGTTTTTTCTTGAGGATTTTGGAAGATTTGATTTGTGGGTTTCGTCTTGAATTTGACCCGAGCTTTGTTTTGCTTTTCCGATTTGCTCGATCCACTTTGATGTTCTTGGCACGATTGAGGAATTAGACGCATTTTCGTTCAATTTCAGTTGTGATAGCCGAGTTAAGTTTAGAGCTTGTAGGGTTTATGGGTGGATTCAATTTGTCGATTCTAGATACTAACATAATTCTATCTCTGTCTACCGACTACACTGTTATCTTCTGTTTAGCTACTGGTTATGGAAGAGAGACGATGGCATCGTAGCTCTTTAGTCCTCTTCTTAATCTCCAATTTCTTTGTCGCTGGAAGTGCCTTTTGACTTGTTACTACGTGTTTATAGACTCTTTACTTCTCCTTTCGTAAAAATATTTTCATATTGCGACATTCGACGTTGATTTATTTGGATGATTCTGATATGATAAGATAAGATGGCTTGGTCATTACATATAATTGCAAGCTTTTGAACTGAACGAAAGCTTGCAGAAAATGACGTATCTTTTAGGTGTGAGATTATCCATTATTCAGTGTGTCAAATGTTGGTGCCGTTGGTTCTACTGGATTAGCCACTCTCTGTGGTCATCAGGGTCTGTATTTTGATTCTCCAAAATTTATCAAGAAGTGTCCGTTGATTTTAGTTTAGAATTGAGTAAAGGGAACTATTGATTCTTCCATAAGATACCATTTTTTCAGTTAGGGGGTAAGAGCTTAGAATAGCATGGTCGCATAGGTGGATTGTATATACCTTGCATCACCATGAAAACTTTCTATAATGAACTCGTTTGATTAATTATTACTGCATTTCCAACTCTTGATCTGTTGGTTAGCTTGTGAATAATAAGACAGTGACAGAAAAACTTTATAGGGTCGATGAAGAAGATAAAACTGAAAGTCTAGAGTGCTAATACTGGCTTCTTGATTCTAATTGTCATTATCTCCGCCTTTTGTTCCCATCCAAGCAGGAGGGAAGAAACAGGTTCAGGATACATTAAACATTGCTCCTTTGAGTTGGTGTTTGAGTAGTGGTATGTAGGTTCATTAACTTTGGTAGTCACGGAAAGCCGTTCTCATTTCAGATTATGTGAAGATTAATGGGGAGGAAGTACCAGGCTTATGGAAGGCTTCCTAGGTTGTAAAATTATTATGTGGAAACATTGTTCTGCAAGGTAGTGTTGAAATGCAGCTACTTCAGTTTGAGGCCTCAATTTTTGAAAAAATCTTCACTATGATGAAATAGAGGAGCTGATGATTCTTATAACCAAATGGGAAAATTGCTTGACCACTGGTGAAGGAGAACTTAGATTTAAAACATTTTGTAGTTAGTCTTGGCTAGATTTTTTCTTTTTGAATAAGAATTTTTTGATTGACGAAGCGAAAGATACAAAATTGCAGGAAAGCTAAACCTCATACCAAAGAAAATTACAAAAGTTCTCCAATGGGCTATAAGAGAAGATAAGTTCTTACAAATTTTTTTAAAAGAAGACGAACAATTTACACCGAGTAAGAGCCAAATAAGAAAGAGATTAAGAAAACCCATCAAAACAGCGCTTTTTATCTTTGACGGTTCTGGAGTTCCTTCCAATCCATAATGACCAAAAGAACACCCCATATAAATTGAGCCATATTGAGCCATATGACCTTAAAAAAATGGAAAGAGTTCATTTCTTCCTCAAATTGGATTAATGTCGTTTTGTTCTACTAGAAATGATTACAGAATGCATAGGTCCTTAGGAATTCCAATGAGCAGATAAATAGTGCATACCACCTTATTTATTTTCTCTCATTTAGCTCCTTCATGCCTACTACGGTAAGTTATTTTAGTTTTCTTTTGGTGGTTCAAACTTTTGCTTATTTTCACAGCTCCTCATTGGTCTAAGAAAAAAAACATGAATTTTGATGAACAATGAATAAAAACTCATGGTTTTGTGAGATAAAAAGATTCTATAGTTCCTTCCCATCTTTGTCAATGAAATTCATGGACAATTTGGATGTTTATTTATTTTTGTAGCTCTCTCCTTTTCCTTAAAAAATTTCAATTACTTCTAAACACAAGGGACCTGCCAAGAACATAACGTATAAAGCCCCAGTAGGAGAAGCAAAGGAGCAAGTAACAAAGATGTATCTTTGTGCCTCTGAATCTTCTTTCCAGAAGGGATAGCAACGGAGGGATATGTAAAAGTACAACCATGTAAATCTTCTCTTAAGGTTATCATGATTCATGAGTGCTGATACATGAGTGACTCAGCTCCCAAATAAAATACTTGACTTTTATTGGGTATTTTCCTTTTCAAATGTTGAGGTATAATAAACCTATGCTTCCATGCAAAGCGAGGTCTCTTATGAATGACTTTGTCGAAAAAGATACATCCTTTACAGATACCAAACCCAAATTTCCCCTTGAGAGAAGTGAAAGGAGGAGAGTAAATTGGAAAGGGGAGTCCATTCCTAAAGTTTCCAAACAAGGACTATTGCTCTAGATTGAGGGGTCCTAAGGAACTCTCCCTTTTGGGATAAGGGAAGAGTGGTGTGGCAGACTTGTTCTTTTGTTCTTTTGTTCTTTTGTGGGAGGAATAGTAGGACCTTTAGAGGGGTTGAAAGATCTTTGGAAGAGGTGTGGGAGATGGTGAGATTTAATTCCTCTCTTTAGGTATCCGTTAATTAGATTTTTTTTGTAATTATTAATTTGGATTTATACTTTTGAAAGAGAATCCTGTCTTGCAGGTGTTGGGAACTCCTTTTGCAGGTTTGTTTTTTGTATACCCTTGTGTGTTCTTTCATTTTTCTCAATAAAAGCTTGATTTCTTACCAAAAAATAAAAAAATAAATAATAAATAAAAAGGAAATTCCTTTACTAGTTCAAATAGCATGAGCCACTTTGTTGCCCTATAGATTCTGAATGGACCGCTCAAGATCATTGCTAAGGATTTAGTTGAGAGTAAATTGGAATGGGTGGGGAGAGTGTTTGGGCATCCTTTACTCTGAGAGACTACACAGGTTGCTGTCCCATATGATTTCTCCCAACCGAAGTGGCTGCGTGATTGGGATTTTTTTTTTTTGGCCCTCTTTGCTCTTGGAGCAATAGATACTATTAAGTCTCGTAAATGGAAGGCATTGTCTTCTAGATCGACTTTGAAAAAGGGTGCAATCACTTGTTCTTGGAATTTTTGGATAATTTTTCTTACCTTTTCTGGAAGAAAGTCTTTGGGTGGAAGTGAAAATCTTGGGTGGCCATTTACCTACGTCCAACTAACTTTCCATTTTGGTTTGGCAAAATATATATATATATATATATATATATATATATTTTATAAGAGACAATTTCATTGATTTTTGAAATTTATAAAAGGGATGTATTACCCATAGTGTTTACAAAAGACCTTCCCAATATACAAAGAGGGAAGTATGACTATAGGAATCCAAAATATTAGACAATTTACACCAAGATATGGAGTGGTAAACAACATTGTTGAAAAGCTTTGTAAAGTATGTCTTTTCTGCGAGTACTATTTGTTTTCTTTCTTTCCACATATTCAAAAGAAAGCCATGATGAGGTTTCTCCGTAGTGGAGCTTTTGCATTCTTGAAAGGATGGTACATTAAGGCCATGTCCAATAAATCCTTTACCTCCTTAGGAAAAGTGAGATGCCATACGAAGATGATGAGAATTTTTATCCATAAATTTTGAGTGTATGTGCATTGCATAAATAAGTTGGTTTGTGATGCATACTGGGCACCAATTTGGAAATACATTCATGTAGGATATTCTTTTTTGAAGATTTTCACTTGTGCTAATGACTTCATGCACTATTTATCGAAGGAAAAACTTCACCTTTTTGGGCTGATTTCCTTTCCATATTGTCTTTGCTAGGTGAGGTTTACTGCTTCTACTTTTCCCTATGTCCATGATCAAAGATCTCGTCAGTTTTGGGAAGCCATGTCAATGAGTCTGCTTCATTTGACAATACAACTGAGGCAAGATTGAGGCTTAATTCGACTCATTCCATAGCCTCATTACCCTTTAGATTCCTACCAAGCTCCAGGTCCTAGAAATTGTTGACATCATTTCACATTTCTTTGATCGTGGCTCTTTTGCTATGAGAGAGTCCATACAAAGTGGATATCGCAGTGCTAGCTGGTGTTTTCAATCCTAGGGTCAGTTCAAAATGATGTGTTTCCTCCCTCACCCACCTTATGGCGAATTCAGTTGGTGATGAGGTTTTGGTGTTTTTATATGTACTTCCATGACCCTTTTGCAGAAGACAGAAGGGGTCGATTTGCATGATATAGGAGCATATTTAGCTTTTATAAGTTTTCTCCACAATGCGTCTTCTTTGTGATGATATCTCCATATCCATTTTGTGAGGAGAGCTTTATTCTACTCTTTTATCAAAAATACATCAAGTCCTCTCTTGTCCATTGGGAGGTTTATATATTCTATCGAACAAGATGTGGGACATCTTTCTATAGATAGTTTATGTATTTGAAGCCACTTTTTGTGGCATTTCGAATAGAGATATGTAATAAGTGGGGAGATTGGACAGTGTGGCTTATATTAGAGTGAGTCTTCTACTTTTGAAAGTATAACAGGATGACCTTGTTGACAACCTTTTTTCTACTTCTTCAACAATAGTTTTCTAGTAAGAAAAGGATGTGTGGTTCCCCTTTTAAGGATAATCCTAGGTACATATTCAGCCATTCACCCTTTTTACAACTGTATATGCAGACAAATTCTTCAATAGTCTCACATTGATGCTATAATCTCTGTTTTCTGGTGATTGATATCTTGTTTGGAGAATTTTTCGAAGGTTTTTTATTGTTTTGATCATGTTATATGGAAGAGACATCTGGCAAATCAGAGAAGAGGATTCTATCATGTGTAAACTGAAGGTGGTTGATGCTTAAACCTTCGTTGCGAATGTAAAAGCTCTTTATCTGCCTTTCGTATTTAGCCTTTGTAAGTAGGCATTTGAGGTAATCCATTACCATTGTGAAAAGAAAAGGATACCGTGGATCCCCTTGTCGAAGACCCTATACGACGTAGATATTTCCTCTCGGTCTTCCATTGATGATGAAATGCATCCTTTTATCCACCCTTACCATTTTGAGTGAAAACCTTTTGTTACAAGAATGTTTTCGAGGAAAGTCCAATTGATCCTGTGAAAACCTTTTATCCTCTCGGTGTTTCCCAAGTCAAGTTTGATGACTACACCTTTTTGTTTGTTTCTTTCCCATTCATCTGTATGTTCATTTGCCATGAGGGATGCATTGAGGATATGTCGTCCTTCTACAAAAGCTATTTGCTGCCCAGTAATCATGAAAGGATAACCGTTTTAAGACGTTTTGATAGCACCCTTGCTAAGGTTTTGTATAATCCGGTCGTAAGACTTATGGGGCAAAAGTCTGCTACAGTATGCACTGACAACTTCTTTGAGATCAAACAGATTTATGTTTTGTTTATGTTGCCACTGATAACTCCATTCTAAAAGAAATCTTGGAACACTCTTATGATATCGACTCTTCGAATGTCCCAACATTTTTTTAAAAAATTTGAGGTAAAACCATTCGGTCTTGGAGTCTTGTCGGAGCCCACGAGCTGTGTCGCCTTCCCCACCTCTTATTTCGTGAAAGCAACCTCGAGGGAGGCTGCTTACGGTTGATCAATTGGACTCCAATCAAGATCATGGAGAAATTCGATGAGGCATTGGCCGTTGTACATAACAAGGCGTAAAAAGATAAATTCTGATACAATTTCATCTTCGCTTACTAAACTTCTGCCTTGTGTCGATATTTCCATGATGGTACTCTTTTGTTTCTTTGAAGCCATGATACAATGGACAAATTTGGAGTTTATGTCACCCTCCTCTAACCATCATTTTTTACATTTTTGTTCCCAAGATGCTCTTCCTTTGCTGATAATGAGATTAAGACCACCGTTTGCCCACTGGAATAAAAACTTTTAAGACCACCGTTTCCATGAACCAAAAAAATTTCAGCTATAGTATCCTTCTTGTTGGTGAGTTTTTCTACCGAAATGGTACGTTCCGGAAAACGTTTTTCCTTGAAAACGTTTATTCTTATTCCCCTGTATCTATCGTCTAGCTTGATTGCATAGGTCTTTTTGTCCATGATGGTTTTGTATTTCTAAAGTGTTTGATGTGGTGCCAAGGGGCCAATGACTTCTGTCCAAAAGGATTCAAAATCTTTGTTGATTGGTGTTTGATTCAGTTCGAGTCATTTTGCAGGTGCTCTGATTTGGATTCGATGGGGCTGTGGACTCTCAAATTCAATCCAAAATATTATGGGTACTGCTGTTTAGTGGTCATTTTAATTCAATCCAAAATATTATGGGTACTGCTGTTTTGTGGCCATTTTATCATGGGTAAGGGTTGCTTTCTGCCTTTGATAATTCATCAAAGGTGGATTCATGCGTTTTAATTGTGTGGAGACAAAAGGGCTGAGCTTCTCTGTTAATCAAGGTTCGCATGGGTTTTTCACACAAGTATCAACACCGCTGGTGATCTGTTCGTCGGAGGAGCTTGTCGGAAGGGCTCATTGGTTGTGAGGGTGTGTCATGGAAGAAAACCCATAGGAAGTTTCAGGGCTGCTTGTACTTCTCATGATTAGTTCATTTTTTGTTTAACCTAAACAATCCAACACAAAAGCCCCAAACCATACTCTCTGAGGTTTGTGATGGCAGAAAACTAGTGATGAAGGGTTTTGGCAACAACGTTGTGTTCGACATAGGAGGCGGCAGCGATGCGACTCTGAGCTTCGTGAAGGGTTGAAGACAAGCGATTGAAAGATTTCGGAAGTGATGTGCTCGACAGAGGAGGCAGCAGTTGATCTTCAACGGAGGTAATTGCAGCATGGTTTCGAGGAGTGGATGTGGAGACGGATAAGCAACGGGGAGTGGTGTGAGGCCAGTTCTTTGTTTGCTATTACATCCCGATGCCGTTTCTCGCCCTAAACTTGGCTGGAGCAATGGAAGTCGAACGACAGCGCGCCGTCTAGGAGATGATGATCGGCGAGGGGTCGCAAGATCCAAGGATGTGCATAGGTATATTAGACAGGAATCCACACTCCGTTCTTTTTCATTTTTATGGATAGTATCCTTAGTAGAGGATAAGGTGGTGTCGAAGGATTAGCTTTAAGTTGGGAGATATTTGTGTAATTCATGAGTTAGTATCCAAGTTGAAAATGAAAGATGTCTATTACTCAGCTTGAGGGGGAGTGTGGAAGGATATTTTTGTTATCCCATTAGAAAAGGGGAAGTAATGGACCTCCCTAATTTATTTAATTGGATTTATTTAGATTTAGTTACCTATACACGGGATTATTATTTAGATTTAGTTACCTATACCTAGGAATTATTATTTAAATTTATCTTATCTAGGAATTTATTTAGATTACGAATAGAATTTAGATTAGAAAGTTAGATCATTTATCCATTTAAATTTAGTCAGTCGTTTCAGACATGTAATTCTCTAAAGAGAACAAAAAAGAAAAGAAAAACAGCGAGCTAATTTAATTTAGACTTGCAACAGGTGGGATAACTGATAATGAGGGATGAGGGTCACTTCTCTCTTTTACTTACCATTTTCTTTGATTAGGAAGAGATGACTTATTTGTTTAGTCAAACATCATCGTTAGAACTTTTGAGGTGCACATGGTTTAATGATCAATAGAGATGTCATATTTGGTTGGTGTCAAGTGTGATCTTGATAAGCTAAGTCGGCTGTGTTGGTGTCAACTATTGTCAACAAACCCTAAACCCTAAACCCGAAACCCTGAACCCTAATGGGCTGTGTTGGTAGAAGCTTATGCACAAGGGAAAAGTTTGTGCTACAACTTTGCGACTAAATGTTGGAATTGCGCCACATGACTGTCTTATAATAGCAGAGATCTGTGACTTCTTTGTGAGTGCAACCATAATCTATAGAGAATCCTCGGAATCAATGGCGTCTATAACAAACAAAGAGATTCTTACTCAGACTTGGTGCAGAAATCTTTCAAAGGAACGGGGGAAAGTCTCTGGGACGATGTTATTTTATTAAATTTCTGTAGAGTGAAATCAGTTCAATGTAGGGTTACGAGAATCTTCTTTAGCATGGGAACCACTGAATGGGGGCGGTTCCCCGCCCTATTTGGCTGTAAAGTGGTTTCTCTCTCCCGGTATCACAACTTTAGTGATGTTTGGCTTGACAGTGGAATTTTGATTGTGCTATGATCTTATATCCTTCACTGATACTTTAATATTGTATCTCATCATTTATGTTCATTTTAGGATGCATTTACTTTATCATCTATCAGACGTACTTTATGTTACTTGATTAAAGTTATAACTTTCATTAACGACACTTGATAATGTATTGAAGGATTCCTTTGAGATCCCTCGGGGTCAGCCTTCTAGAGGAGGAGACATTGAGCTTGGAACAAATGCTCCTACAAGTGCAGGAGATCTGGGCTTGGATGATTTCTTTAAAAAGGTATTTGCATAATCTCTTTTGCCTCTTATTGTTGAGCTAGTAGTAAATTTTATGTTGTAACATAAGAGTGTTTTCAATAACTCAGCTTGAGTGGATGCGTTATACTTTTTTATCTCTTCCAGGTCCAAGATATTGAAAAACAGAATGAGAAGCTGGACAGGTTATTGCGAAAGCTCCAGGTATAAATGTTTTTTATTCTACCTCTTGATCATATTGTTGTAATTTTGAATGCAGCTCCCTGGATAACTCTTGAAGCGTTTTTTAGAAAGAAAATACAATGATAAATTACAGAACAAAGACTAGAATTTTTAAAAGGGTGTGAACATTTACCCAAATAAAGACCATTTAATAAAACCAAAGCCATAGATGACAGTGTTATCCTTGAAGATCCACTCATTCCTTTCGCGTCAAAGAGACCAAAAGAAGGAATGCTTAAAGGCAAGCCTTTGTTTTTTCTTGTCTCAATGAAAGGGGTGTCTCACAAAGATCAATGGTAGCCCCAAAAAAAAAAAAAAACAGAAAACATCATTGGATCTTCTCGATTAGACCTAGAAGGTAGATGACCATCATGATTTAAACTCATTCCTCCTTTTCATTTTACTTGTTTCATTGATTCATAATGTCCACTAGATCAACTTATGAGTGTTGACATTGGTTCCAAATCAATAATGTGATAAATAAATTCCCAAAATAAATAAAAAAAATCCAAGAAAGGTGCCATTAGTTATCATTGTCTTCATTTACAAAATACTGAAAGCTTTAAGTTAGGTGAAATTACAAATTTGGTTCATAAACTTTCATGTTTGCGATTTATGGGTTCTCGAACTTTAAAAAGTATCCAATAGGTTTTTAAACTAGACCGGTCCTTAAACTTTAAATGGAAAATAGGTCTCTAAACTTTCAATTTTATGTCTTATACGCCTCTGACATATTCATCATTTTTTAAAACTAACCAATGTATTATTCATAAAATTGGATTTTGTGTCTGATAGATCATTGAACTTTCAATTTGTGTCCAAAAGATTTGGGAGTTCTGAAAATGCCAATTAGGTCGAGGATCATTATATATTACATTTAAAGTTCAAGAACTTAGTAGATACAAAATCGAAAGCTAAATCAAAAGCTTTGGAACTTATTATATACTTTCTAAAGTACATCAACCTATTAGGCAAAAAATTGAAACCTTAGTGAAGTATTATATATATATATATATATATATTCTTAAATCAAGGTTCTGTTGAACCTAAAAGTTTAGGGACTAAACTTGTAATGTAATTTTGCTTACTACTTGATATTTATATTGTACTAAAACCTACAATTTGATATAATTAAATTGTTCTATGCTCCCTAACTCTCTATGTCTCAACTCTCCCACTCGTCTATGTCACATCACTTGGTTAAAAATAGAGCTCAGCAAAGCTAAGTAACAATATCCTTCCTATCATTTTGGAAGATGGCACATCTTTGTGGATTCTTATGGGATGATCCTGATAGGAATGTTGTTATTGGGATATTAAGGGTATATTAGTAATTAGCTGGGGAGTTTGTTATGCTATTTGGTTATATATAGAGAGGGTGGAGGAGGAAGGCAGAGAATTTTTTAGATGTTTTAGGCTTGAATTGGTATACTCAAGAGAGGGGAGGTTCGAAGTACTATGAGTACTTGCGTTATCTTGTAGCTGTTATTTGGGGATATTATGATGCTACTCAATGGAATGTTGGAAGAGAGCCTTGATATGTAAGTTCTCTAGCACGATGTTAGTTTATTTCCAAGCTGCAAATGACCTTAGCGTAAGAACAGATGTAAAAATGTAATTGATTGGTTACTAAGTATTCATCATAGCATTGTGAATGACTATCCTTTTCTGGTCTGTTGTCTCAAAATTTGGTTCCAGGATTCACACGAGGAGTCCAAAGCTGTGACTAAAGCTCCAGCAATGAAAGGTAATCTTTATAACCACTTATAATTCATGTACGCTACTTTTTTCTTAAAATTGATGTTTCTTTCAAATAGCTAGCTTGCCACCGGACTGCCCCTTTTCTTAGAGAGAGAGAGTGGGTGGGGGATTCAAAAGCACCTCCAATTCATTGTTTTTGGTTTCAGTATGTACCCAATGATATGGAACATTGGCATATAAACATGATATGGAATGCAATATTGCTAGATCAATACATCAATTATACCATTTTTCAGTGTAATGATGAATTATAAACATGCATGGACGAGATATGTCTAATATTTGGCAGTTTTAAGAGGCCCTTTAAATTTATAATGGTTTAAACTTTGTAGGAAAGTGCTTTTGTTTGCTTTCTTACTCTGGTTTTTAAATACATCTATATGCATGTGTACAATTCTTTGGCTGAAGAAAGGCTAATGGAAGTAGTGCTACTCAAGCTTTCAAGAAATATTATGTAAAATTTGTTTTTTGAATTATGGTTGTGGATTGTGCATGATGAGATAAGGACCGTGCATATCAACTAATGAAATGCTCAAGAATTTCATTATATCTCCACAACTGTATGGGTGCATTTCATTCTATTAATATTCTTTATTAGTCTGGGAGGTTAATATAATTTAGTTTCATTTTCGAAGTGTAATATTATCTGGTGCTTTTAGCTAAATAATTTTTTTTTTTTTTTTTTTACTTTTTAGTTTAAAAAAAAAAATCTAAATTTTAGTTTTTGCTTTAGTGGATGCATGGCCAGTTTATGCATTATATATGTAGTTTCTAAAGATTCCGTATTCGTTTAATTTACTAATATGGCTAGTACTCCAGCAATCAAGCAGCGAATGGAAAAGGATGTTGATGAAGTTGGAAAAGTTGCACGTTTTGTGAAGAGCAAGGTCGAAGAACTTGACAAGGAGGTGAGTCACTTTGCTGCATCAACTTGATATTCCACGTTCCAGTAACCTATTGTCATAATTTCTGTATAGTAATTTCTAACTATGACCATGTTTCCCAAAGAAAGGATTGCTAAGGCACCCTTCCTCCCATGTTTTTCATTTTTGGAGTATTGGTGTTACAGAATCTGGCAAATAGGCAGAAGCCTGGATGTGGTAAAGGATCAGGTGTAGATAGATCAAGAACAGCAACTACTCTGTACGTTACGTTCCAACTCTTCAGTTTCATCTATAGATTATTCTTCTTTTATGACTGTTCCCACGTTCATCGAATAATTTTATCATAATTAAGATAAATTTACAAACCATTAATTTTATGGTGTTTGTTTTTCTATCACCATATATGGGCCAACTTTTGTAAGTAAGATGAAACTAATAGGTGTGTTCAGCTGCTAAATATGAACACTTATGACCATTAGGTTTTTGGCTTTTGATTTTTGAAAATTAAGCTTATAAACACTACTGCAGGTAAGTTTCTATGCTTTGTTATGTACTTTTTATAGTTATTTACAAAATCCAAGCCTGTGGAAACTAAAAAGAGTAGTTTTCTGGAATTTGGAATTTGGAATTTGGCGATAAAATTCAATTATCTTCTTTAGTAAAATGAAAACCGTGGTAAAGAAATTGTAAGAACACTCAAACGATTTTCAAAAACCAAAAAAACAAAAAACGAGGGACAAAATCAAATGGTTATCAACTAGCCTTAGTTTTCTAGCTAGTGTGTTTGTGTTTGAGAGGTATCAAAAGTCCTGAATACTAAGCAAAGTATTTGAGCTAGAGTATTAGACGAATCAAATGTGTGCGTTCAGAAAATGGACAAAACAATTTTCTTTAAGCTATTCCAATATGGTCTGGTTAGAGAGGAGGTTAGCAAAGCAATTGATAGGTTTCCATAGTCTTTTTTTTCCCCTTTTTTTCTCCTTTTTTTTCGACAGAACTATTGGGATATTATGAAGGACGGACTAATAATTTTGATTTGATAGAGGTGTGTGAAAAAAGTGTCTGGGAGAGTCTGATGCCTCTCTTATTTGCTTCTTGGTTTGTATGAACTCCATTTGTGTTTTGCGCAATATTGTTTGGGAGGAGAGTAAAATTTCTTTTCTGGGGTTTGTTGTAGAAGGGACGTGGCCATATGTCAACCTACATTGAGCCATAAGCTCGTTTTTCCATAAATTATATTTCTTATTTCTCAAAGGACCCAATAATTGATAAATACAAGAGAAGCTTCAAGTAAGAAAACTAAATATAAAAGGATAGATTAAAGAATATATATATATATATATATATATATATATATATATATATATACATATATATAAGCTTAATGATAAAATACTGAATAAAACAAAATACAATTGTACCAAATACAGATCTACAGCTCTACTTTAAAGATTTTTTCAAGTCTTCCTTGAAGTCCTCTTCAATTCTCTTGGGTGTCTTGAACTCCATAGCGTGTTGCCTTCCTACCTAATGATGACCACCGGTTATTAATGTGTATGATAGGAAGAGGGTTAATGTGGTGAGTCTAGTGTGTATGCTGGTTGGTTAAGAGTTTTAGGGTTCATGTAGGTAGGTAGTATGATGTAATCATGGATCGGTGTGTTTATATGAACTTTATGTATGAGTAGAGGAGAAGTAGCTTTTGGCTTTGGCCGAGTCTTGGAGAATAAGGAGTAATCTCCGTTTTACTCTCTGCTCTTTAATTAAATACATATCTGTATGCTGTCAATAATAATTGAACTCTATCAACAATTTGTAATGGTACTCCTTCAGCAAAGTTGGAATCAGTAAGCTAGTCTTTTGGAACCACTGATCGCCCCTTAAAACTTCACTGGTCATTGGCCAAGCGAAGTGCTGGTATCCTTCTTCCCTCTCATGCAAAGAATTCTTTATGTGTGGTTGAAGAAAATTTACCTCGACCTATTTACTTTAAATCATCTTTCCGTGTGAAATTCCACATATGGGGTATCACTGCCATCTAACAGAGGTAATTCCTAGTTGCAGAGTGAAAACCCATGCATTCTTTCATCCTTTCTCGTGTGCTTGGTCATTACTCCCATCATTTTCACTTCTCCTTTAGCATCTGATGGCTTTTTCCCATTCAACATATTCTTTTGCATTGTGGTACATTATGCCACCTATTGTAATCTCAGAAGTTGACTTATTACCTCCCATTGTTGTAATGCTTGACTTTGAAGTTATCCATAACTAGCGATTGGTTTCCCAAAATGTTCAAACTAAGCTCTTTATTAGAAAAGAGAAAACAAGAAACAAGCAAGAGAAACGTTACGAAACGAGGCCCCATCCCATCCTATGCTAATCTTGTCTTCATCCTCCCTACCGAATAGCCTTGCCCCTTTTTCTTATTCACATGTTCAAGTCTTGGATGGTTGACCTTAATACTTCAGCCCAAAATCTTAATATTTCAAGTCTTGTAGTGAAATGGTTCACTACAGGTTGTCAATTTTAACTTGACCTACCAAGAAAATAAAGGAATATCATCAGCAAACTGCAGATGACTCAGAAGGATCTTCAATAATCTATCTCATCACCCTGGTGAGCAGTGGTAGTGCAGGCTCAGTTCAACTGTGGAATTGTAGTTGTATTGAATAGTAAAATGGTGTCTTCTTGAATCTTGACGTAGTTTAGCTATAATTTCAAGTAAAAGTTCATTTTTTCTCCCTTTTTCTTTCAAATTTGTTATAATTCCTACAGCTTCCTCAGTTTGTGAATTTCATAATGTCCTGATAAATATATTTCCCATGAACTGAATGTCTCACTCATTGATTGCATTTTTTGTTTAGTTCCTTAAAAAAGAAGTTGAAAGACAAGATGACTGAGTTCCAGGTAACTTTTGTTGTCCTCTTTGTTGGATTGGAGTCATTATTGCCTAAGATCATGGATTGAATGGATAGTAATGTCGATTGTAGATTTTGCGGGAAAAAGTTCATCAAGAGTATCGGGAGGTTGTTGAGAGACGGGTTTTCACAGGTTTGATCCACTGTCGTAAAAATTTTGGTCCTTAAAGATTTTTTGTTTTTTTTTTAATTTTTGAGTTATAGTTTACACTAAAACGGCTTCTATGATTTTCAGTCACGGGCACTAGGGCTGACGAAGAGGTAGTACTTCCACTATTCTTAGAGTTCCAATGGGTCCCATTGGTTATGTTTTAACGTACCATGGTCGTGTTTCAATCATTATATGAACATGCAGACCATCGAGAAATTAATCGAAACTGGGGATAGCGAACAAATTTTTCAGAAGGCAATTCAAGAACAAGGGCGAGGACAGGTATGTTGCTTCTCCCTTATCATCACCTCCCCACTTCCTCTTCCCTGTCACGTTCTTTGCTTCGAAGTCTTGGCATTGAAAGCTTACGGTTCAAGTCTTTATTAGTGTACATATCAGCATCATTAAAATCTCAGTACACATTTTGTGGCTTGATTCATGGATGTTGATGTTTTTCCTTCCAATATATACGTTACTTTGTAGGTAATGGACACTCTAGCTGAAATTCAAGAGCGTCACAGCGCAGTTAGAGAACTGGAGAGGAAGTTACTCGAGCTACAGCAGGTACATAATAAATTTTACGCATGCTGTCCTGTCTCTACATTCCCTAAAAGTGGAGCTATGCAAAGTCAAACATTAAGAAGAAAAGTTATGTTCTGTCAGCCATATAATAGTAAATATAACTTTCCTCTCTCTTGGGTATCTGTGTCTCATAGAAAAGAAAGACTGCATAACATAACGCATATCGAGTGTGGTTAACTTGGCAGGTATTTCTGGACATGGCTGTTTTGGTAGATGCACAGGGGGATATGCTCGACAATATCGAATCACATGTAATATATCTTTATAGTTCGATGTTGAAATAGCATGATTTTGGAGTTGTTGGTGTGTGAAGTGTAGGTAAATGTGGTGGTTTTCAGGTTACAAGTGCAGTAGATCATGTGCAACAAGGGAACACTGCACTTCAAAAGGCAAAGAAGCTTCAAAAGAATTCAAGGAAATGGATGTGCATTGCCATAATAATCCTTCTAATCATTGTTGTGGTGGTAGTAGTGGGAGTCCTAAAGCCATGGAATAGTGGTAAGGGTGCGTAAGTGGTCTCCATCATCATATCATCTCTCTGTTATATCATTTCTCAAAGGAGTTGTTGTACCTCTACCTCTACCTCTGCCTGGACCTGCAATTTGTGTTGTTGATCCATTTTTTGGAACAAAGCTTCTAGGTGTGTGTGTGATATTGTTTGCAAGAAGAAGCATATATAAATATATGTGAGTATATTCTTTATATCTTCACACAAAACGCCCATCTGCTTCAGCTTTCTCTGAAATTATACACCTTTTCTTTTCATGTTCAGTTCATTCAATCAAGGAACCCATTATGAGCTATATATGAAAGAACTGTAATTTCATGGTTATGCACTATGTGATGCCAATATGGGGATGATATCAGTACAGGCTTCTTTTTTCTTTCTTTCTTTTTTTTTTTTTATTAGTTTAATTAATTTTTTTAATATGAATTTTTTTTTTATAAATATATATTAATTTAGTATTGTTTTTCTTTCTTTTATAATACTTTTAGCTTATTTTTGTTTTAAAATCAGATGTATTTTATGTTGGAATGAGTGAAATAAATAAATTATATTTCATTTTTTAAAATATAGCATGTATAATTAATTTTTCAATTTGATTACTGGACTAATTATACCGTTTTATTAAAATTATTTATTTGAGAATAATTATTAATAGTGATTACTAAATAATTTTATTTATAATATAAAAAATTAAATTATAAATTATTTTATTAATTTAACTTAATAACATTCCCCTCTTAATTTATTTAATTCCATTTGTTTATAGAATTATTATAATGAATTAAATCAATAATTATTTTAAAAAAATATATATATTTATTTATTTAATGAATTGCTTTATTTACTAAACTTTATTTTGATTACAGATAATAAAATTATTGATAATAAATTTATATACCAAATAAATGAGCTCTAAAAGATCATGAGTTCTCCTAGTTTTCTAAAAACCCATGTGTACAACAATTTGTCATTTTCTTAATTTTTGTTACTCCGATTGACCAACAACTCAGTTTTTAATAAATTTCTGAAATTTCTGGATAAGTTGTTCACTTAGGCACGACAAAGATTGTGTTAATTAGTTAAAGGTCCCCCATGTATGTGAATGCATCTTCAATCCCATTAGAATGGCTACGTATCTAAGCTGCATCTTGTTTACATGGTAACAGACCGACGGAACATTAGGTTATTGATAAGGAGCATGAGCAGGCGGGGGGGGGCTCATACAAATAAGTGAAGGAACCCTGTAAAACCTTGAAGAAGTATGGTCACACGACCAAAAAAGAAAGGGCTAGCAAGACAAGTAATAAGGATGTTTTTTTCCGATTGGGTAAGATGATGAAAGAATAAGAGAGTGAAAGAAAAAAAATTGAAAAAAAATTGAAAATTGAAAATTTAAATCCATCGCACGTGACCTCTAGAGGAGAGCGCTAGCGAAAATGACCTAAAACAACCCTCCATCTACATATTCGATTTACTCGGGTGGAACTTCTGTATCTTTGGTTTCATATTTAGGAATATAATAAGTCAATTTATAATCTTTAGCACCGGCTTTGAATCCTACCCTTGCTTCAGTCTTTGTTTGTAGGACACAAGTTTCTTCCTTCGACTCCTAAATTACGTATTCTCGCAACAACAAGGCTACTCCATGTGAATTAGAAATTAATGAAATTTTTTATAAGAATCCTTTCACAAAATTCTCCACTAATATTATCAACTCAATGGAATGGTTTATTATTAGACTATGGTGTTTGATTAGCTCTTTAGTTTTCTAAAAATCTTGTGAAGGGATCAACTAAAACCCTAAACCCTAAGGCCTAAACCCCCAGATCATCACTTCACTTTGATATAGAATCGACCCAATGGAAAGCTCTGATGTCAAATGATAAGGAATCACGTTAAGGAGAGTAAGATTTGGATTACCTTGTTAATCGAATATCTCAAGGCAAGAACATTTGTTTTCAATTCGAATCACTCCACAAACAAGATCGATCATGTTTAGCTTGAATGATCCTTGTTAATCAAATATCTCAAGACAAGAACAGTTGTTTGAGATTCGAATCATTCCACAAGCAAGATTGATCATGTTGAGCTTGAATGATTCTACATGCAACCTAAACTAATAGAATTGCAAAGAAACTTAGCCATTGACTAAAGGAAAGCACAAATGCTCCTTTTACTATATTTTCCAAGTCTATCTTACAAAATTAACATACATCTTTATATAGCCTCAAAATGAAAACTCTTAAAGGTATTCCAACCGTTGTAACATTCATACTTTATGGTCATAATTAAATATTATGTAAATATAAGCTAAAGTAAATAAAATGTCCTAAAATACATTAATGAAACATCGTAACTCTAAATTATAATCCCCCAAAATTTATAACAATAAAACTTCATTCTTCTCCCATGTGGCATGAATTGAAACATCTTTTAATAATTTTGATAAGATTTTCTTCAAATATTCCTTGAAGTTTATATTGCATGATTGATATCTTGGTTCATATCACATTTGAGTCCAATCGAGGAAAATAAGTGTCACAATCGCCCTTTTCTAGGCAGCTGATTTGGTGATTGTGCGGCACTCATCCTCAACACTGAGTGAGTCAAGCCAACTTAGGATCGCGTCACCTACGGCCGAGTTACGTATGCTCAAGCCTCTGGCCCCGATTTGAGAAGAAGGGTTTAGAAAATAGGGGTAGAGAGATTTTGAAAGAGAGTTTGAAGGCAATATTGAGAGAGATTGAAAGCAAAATTATATGGCATACAAGAAAAAAAGGTAACACCACGACTTAAATAGCATATAACTTTTTGGGTAGAAAGAATTTGACAACTAGTCGCATCCCTCTATAGGACATTTTGAGGTGATTCAGGTCTGGCAGGCCTAGACGTGATTTCTTCGAACGGTCATACAAAATCAAGGGAAGGAGTTGACAACTAGTCACACCCTCTTTAGTACACTATGGGGTATTTCATGTCTACCATGCAAAGACATGATTCTGTCGAAACATCATGCACTTATAAAAAGCAAGAAGGAAATTATACATCATGAAGCACCAGAGGAAAGAGATAAAGTGATACAGGCCAAGGGCTTCGACGTATCACGGGCAAGCGGCCATGGGCAATATGCCTTGGACAAGCATGGCCGTCGCATCCTCCCCCACATAATTGGTTGACGTCCCTGTCAATTGTCTCATATCTTCAAACTCTGTAATCTAAGGTGCGACCGACTTCAAGTTGTTGGCACGTTCCCAACTGATTTTCACTTCTGGAAGTCATTTCCACTTGACTAAGAACTCTTGTATGTTTTGCCTTGGTTTGTCGATGCGACGTGTTCGTTCGACCAAAATCTCTTCTACTCCCTTCTTACTTGAGTCCTTCATCGTAACTAGGAGTCGTATCACTTGGTTGCATTGATGGTCATCATCGTCTGGGTGATATAGTTTCAAGTTACTTACATGGATGACAAGATTACTTACATGGATGACAAGATTAATCTTCATCCATGAAGGTAGTTGAAGACGATATGAAGTCCTCCCGACTTGAAACTATCACTTCGACTAGTCCCTCATATTTGCCCACTAGTGGTTGGTCCCTATTCCCATGAAACCTAAACTGTTCTAGTCTCAACTTCATCAAAACTTGGTCGTCATCCTGAAATCCTGATTGTCTTCGTTTTTAGTCTGCCCACTTCTTCGTTCGTCATGAAGCTTTCTTAGTATGCTCGTGCCACTTCAAAGGGTTGCTTCCACTCCTTGGTGAATTTATACGCTTGAGGGCTTCTCCAGACATAAAGGTGGTCAACGATATGGGGCATGAGTGGCTGTCTGCCACATACCATCAAAAAGGAGGTTTTTCCTGTCGTCGAGATCTGCTGGCAATTGAAAGTAAATTGAGCAATGTCAAGCATATATACCCAGTTCTTTTGTCGTGCATCGATGAAGTGACATAAGAACTCTTTGAGCTTGCTATTAAACCCTTCAGTTTGTCCATTCGTTTGGGGATGGTAGCTCGAAGAGATGTTTAAGCTCAACCCCAATAACTTGAATAACTCGGTCCAAAAGGTCCTTGTGAATCTCGCCATCGCGATCACTGAAAATGCTCTTGGGAATGCCCCACAACTTGATAATCTGTTAGAAGAACAGTTGTGCAGTTGCTTCGACGGAGAAAAACTTGAGGGATTAGGACGAATGTGGCATATTTGGAAAACGTATTCACGATTACCAAAATGGACTCAATCTCTCCTACCTTAGGGAGCTGTGTGATGAAATCTAGAGAAATATTTTTCCACAATTGGGAAGGGATCGGTAGAGGTTCCAACAGTCCCGCAATTTTGTTCTCTTCGACTTTGTCTTGTTGGCAGATAAGACATGTCTTTGTGAACTGTCACGTTATTTTGGAGGTTAGGAGGGCGTAGGTTCTCTGCCACCCATTGTGACTTGCCCATGGAGTGTCGTGACATTCTTTGAGTAGGAGTCTCCTCAAGTTTCCTGAACGGGGACTGTACAAACAATTCTCCTTGGTGAATAGTAGATTGTCCTCGACCCAAAACTAGTAGGTCTTCCCCTCTTTAGCTAACTGCATGATGGTCTGAGTGGTGATGGTGTTAATATAACACATGCGGAAGCAATTTGGATCTTAGGCACTTTTAGAACATCAATTATAGTAAATAACTAGCATGTTCATAAGTATTAAAACTTAATGAGTTTAGATATTAACCTTTTGTAGTTCAAACTCCTTTTTCCTCACGAACCGGTTTCAAACCACCACTAGTGTCTTCTCTACTATCCTCCGGCCTTTTGTAGTTCAAACTTCTTTTTCCTCACGAACCGGTTTCGAACCACCACTAGTGTCTTCTCCACTATCCTCCGGCCTTAGAACGGGATTGTGGAATCCAGTGAGTGACTAAACTTGGGAGGGATTCTGTATATGTGAAGAGAGTGTTTGTGAGAGGTTTTTCTCAAGGTTTTTCACCGAGAAGAAGAAGAACTTTCATGTACCATGATCACTCTATTTAAAGAGTCATGTTTGCATGTTCATGCAAATTTGAGATCACCAAATTTTGACACTTAAAATTCCACTCAAATGTTTGGGATTATGTGGCAAGCATGCATGTTTGA